TGGGCCTGGGCGGCAAGGTCACATTCAGCGGGCGTAGTAATCTTACAAAACAAGAGAACGGCTGCGGCAAACAAGATATCTCTACAGGAGGCCGTAGTGGAGGAAGGGGAGGGGCATTGGATAAAACTCAACTTCTCCTACCAAGAAGAGCAGTTTGCCCTTTTCACAGTTTACTGCCCCAACTCACAGCGCGACAGATCTGAAATGCTTCAACAGCTGCAGTCTCACATGGAGTCTACAAGACATAACATAATGGTGGGGGATTGGAATGCCACACTGGAACTAAGCAAGGACTGATTGATGGGAGGCAACTCGGGAATGGGGGATGAAACGTGGGGAGACGAGGCTTCGACAATTCACGACCTCATGACGGCCTGGTACCTAGTGGATCCGTTTCGATTACACTGGCCGGACCAGAAACAGTTCACATACGTCAAAAGGAATCGTAGCCAACATATATCAGCTTCGCGTATAGATTTTTTCCTTATCTCCGAGGGGCTAATAGGAGCATTGCAGTCGGTGAAGATAGGAGACCTGCCACACTGCAGCTGCCTAGACCACAAGCCTATCTCCATGGACCTCACCTTGAATAAGTCTTCCCAGAGAGGAAGAATCTTCTATAAGGTGAACAACTCCCTACTGAAAACACCGGAGTTGAGGGAGGCTATTCTGCGGGTATGCCTGGAGCACGATAGTGAGAAGCATTCCTTTCCAGACCTAATAAAGGCCCTATCAGGGGCTACGACAGCGGTGTCTAGACAGCTAGCGGCTAGAAGAAAGGCCAGGGAGAAGGATTTACAACAAGCTCTTCGCATAGCGGAAAGGAACATGGTCTGCAATCCTGGCACGAAATTGTATGAAAAGATCATGGAATCAGCAAGAAAAGACCTAGGAGACTGGGAGCGTTGGAAGGCAAGAGGGCTACAGATGAGAGCTAGAATAAAAAAGTGGGAAGAGGGAGAGCGCATGACAAAGTATTTCTTTCAAAAGATCAAAGCTAGGGGCAGAAGCACACAGATTGAGAAACTAGAAGGCCCACAGGGAGTAGTATCAGACCCTGAGGGTTTACTGGAGGTGGCTAGTAATTTTTACAGCACTCTTTACAAATCCAAGGAGGGAGACCAGGACCCAAGATTGGTAAAGGAGACCCGGGACAAGTTTTTAGCACACTTAGACCGCACGCTCAAGAGTGAACAAATACTAATGTTGGAGGCCCCTTTATCGCAGGAAGAGCTGAGGGAAACACTAGACTCTATGACCCCCAACAAAATGTCGGGAAAGGACGAACTAACAAGAGAATTCTGGCAGGAGTTTTGGGAAATACTGGGCGGAGAATACGAGACCTACCTGAATCAAGCCTGGTTGAATGAGGGCCTAGGAGTAGAAACCTCGACGGGAATAGTCACGCTTCTCTACAAGAAGGGGGACCCTAAGGATATCAAGAACTACAGGCCAATCACGCTGTTGACTCTTACCCACAAAATTATCGCCAAAGCGTTAGCCAATAGACTGAGGAGGATAACGGATAGATGTTTCCACCTTGATCAAATAGGCTTTGTTCCGGGGAGGTTTATCCTGGACAACGTGATGACCCTCTCAGAATCGGTCAGATACATAGCGAACAAAAGATTAAATGCGGCTATCCTCTTCTTCGACTTCGAGAAAGCTTACGACCAGGTCAACTGGTCGTTCCTACAGCAATGCATGGAAAAGATGGGGGTGGGACCCAACTTCYGTAAATGGATAAGAGTATTGTACAACGACTCTCACGGGCAAGTGCAGGTCAACGGTCACCTCTCCGGGAAATACAAAATGACCAGGTCAGTCAGACAGGGGGACCCCTTGGCGGCCCCGATCTTCCTCTTCATCATGGAGGCCATAGCCTCCTTCCTCARGAAGGACCCCTCGATAGAYCGGTTGGTAGCCGRACCTGACCAKCAGGGCCGATTCATTAACTTGCCTACCACAATACTGTTCGCTGACGACCTTACYGTYCTGATCAGGGCCACAGACTCCTCCTTTCGGGCCCTCACGAAAGCTATGGAAGCCTTCCAACTGGCCTCGGAAATGAAAATCAATTGGCCYAAGACGCTGGGCTGGTGGCTCACATTTGACGACTCTCAGACCCACCCACAGCCCGCCAATCAYGGGGGTATGGAGTGGGCACACCCACAGCAGCCTTTGAGATATTTGGGGATCAGGCTAGCRGACACGGGCCCCCACCATTCCATGGCCCCTGAGCAGATGACTAAAACACTAACAAAACTCGACGCTTGATCAAACATCTATACCTCGCTATTCGGTAGGGCACTAATCCTCAACGCCTCCATCTTCTCTACTCTATGGTACGCGGGGACTWTTTGGTCACCCCCGGGGTGCTCTTTACGTAAGCTYAGAAGGGYAGCGGCAGCTTWTCTGTGGACCGGGAATCCAGCCAGAGAYAGCTTCATYCCCAAAGTAGCCTRGAGGCAAGTCATACAGMCCAAGAGTAAGGGRGGGCTGGGCATCCTAGATCCTGAACAGCAGATAAAGGCACTCCAGTCAAAGTGGGTCATCAAGCTAATCTCCCAACCTCACCTTCGTTGGGTCCCTTTGGTCCTGGAACACATTCGAGGACTTGCCAGGTATTCTACCCCTTCCAACATGGAGGGGACCTTCTGGATCCTTTGCAAGGGATGGTCGAAGAAGGGCAGAAGGGGGGGACAGGAGGGGGAAGAAGATTCTGCTTCCTCCTTGTACTGGGTCAGGATCTTGAAAATCTGGGAGGAGATATTTCCGGCTAGAGTAAGGAGTCCCAGGTCTAAGGAGGAGGTCCTCAGGCAGCCTCTATTCTGCAATCCCTGGCTGAAAGATACCCAAGGGAAGCCAAGAACACTGACAGCAAGGGACACCAGATGGGGCAAATGGGTGGARCACGGAGTGTGGCAGATCAAGCACCTGTGGTCCCAAGAAGAAGGAAGGTGGAAAACAGGAAGGGAGCTAAGAGYCTCGATGAAGGGCTGTCACAGGCTCACAGAAAATCTGAACGACATCCTGGTTTCCGTCCCACAGGAATGGACCCAACTGCTGAGAGCACCGTACAAATGGACAGG